ATATATATATATATATATATATATATATATATATATATATATATATATATATATATATATATATATATATATATATATATATATATATATATATATTTAAAAAACTCATTAATAATTCAGGAGGAAAACACAAAGAAAAATCATAAGCGTGTCGTGGTTTTATATGTGATAAAAAATCATGTTAATTTACATAAACTTTAGCTTTGATTTTTTCGGTTTAGACAAAGTTTATTTTAAAAATTACTTCGCCAATGAACTCGTATAAGATGACTCGTTTTTGAAGCTATTTAAAGCACTTGTAGTCGTGTTTTATCACATATAAAATACTCCGCTACGCGTCGTGTTTTATATGTGATAAAACACTCCTACGCGTGCTTTAAATAGTACATAGACAAGTATCGAGTTTGGAATCATATATGAGTAGAGTGCTCAATACCGTAGTAGAGCTGATAAACTCCACCTGATGAGTGTGGCAAGACTCGTCTGAATTGAAATAAAGTCCATATGAAGTAATTCAAGTTTGTCTTCTAATCTTATATATATATATATATATATATATATTATATATATATATATATATATATATATATATATATATATATATATATATATATATATATATATATATATATATATATATATATATATATATATATATATATATATTGAGCACTCTGCGGGCGTTATAGTTCTAGGTATCAGCGACCATAACTTAATTTATGCTATCAGAAAACACTCTATAGTGTTAAATCTAAGCCTGTGTGATGAAAATGATTGGGTCAATTTTAAAACAGCTAAAAATCTAGTTAACTATAAAATTAGAAATAGTAAAAAGCAATATTAAAATTCTTTGTTTCAACTCAACGTAGGTCGAACTAAAGAAACTTGGAATGGTATCAACAGTCTTCTTTCTAAATCTAAAAATTCAACTACTATACCAAAATTAATCTTGCAAGATGAAATCGAAATTACTGACCCAGTAACTATTAGCAATGTTTTTAATAACCACTTCACTGAAATCGGACCTAAATTAGCAGCGCAAATTCCAACAACTGGTGCGGCCTCTTATAATATTCCACAATGTAATGAAGTTTTTGAATTACATGAAGTTACTCCATCTCAAATAGATGGACTAATTTATAAATTATCGACTTCTAAGGCTAGCGGTCTTGATAACATTCCTGTTAGTTTATTAAAACTAATTAATTTCACTACTGTGGTTTCACTTACTCACATTATTAATCTAGTAATTCGCAAGGGAATTATTCCCGCTGATTGGAAATGTGCCAGGGTATCAGCAATTTATAAACATGATTCAAAACTAGATTTGAATCATTATAGGGCTATTTCAGTCCTTCCAGTAGTTTCAAAAATTTTTGAAAAAGTTGTCTTTGACCAAGCATATGCCTTTTTAAACAAAAACAACCTTTTATCTGACATACAGTCAGGATTTAGACCTCTTCACTCAACGTTAACAGCTATGCTTGATGTCACTGACAAATGGTACACTAATTAACATGGACAGTGGGTTAATAAATGCTGTCTTATTCATTGATTTAAAAAAGGCTTTTGATACCATTGATCATAACATTTTACTACAGAAGTTAACTTGTTACGGTTTCAACAAAGAAACGATTGATGTTTTTAGAAACTATCTTTCTGATCGTACTCAAATAACAGTTATTAACAACATACGATCTGATACTCGTAAAGTAACATGTGGAGTTCCTCAGGGGTCTATCTTAGGTCCACTACTGTTTTTAATATATATATAAACGACCTACCTAATAGTGAATTGGTATCAGATTGGCGTTTATTCGCTGATGATACCAACTTGACTTTTGCGGACAGCAACCCTGACAAGTTGATTTCTGTTCTAAATGACGACCTTAAAACTCTCCAAAACTGGCTTAACCTGAATAAACTAAGCCTGAATGCGATTAAAACTAAATGTATGTTTATGGCATCCAGGCAAAAATTAAGTTCTATTCCTGAAGAACCTAATATTGCTATCTCCGGAATCAAAATTGAAAGAGTTAGATCTTATAAGTGTTTAGGTTTAAAACTGGACGAGAGTTCGACATGGGAGCACCATGTTTCTACTATAATCTCCAAAGTCTCCAAGGTGATTGGAGTTCTACGAAGACTAAAACCATTGCTCCCACAGTCAACTCTTGTCATGATCTATAACTCTTTAGCACAGCCATACTTTGATTATTGTAGTATTGTCTGGGATAGCCTAGGTAAGGGTCTTGGACAAAAGTTACAGCGATTACAGAATAGGGCCGCAAGAATTATTACTGAATCTGATTATAACATCCGGTCATCAGATATTTTAACATCATTGAATTGGACCAACCTTGAAACCAGACGTACCCAACAGTTCAAAACTTTTATGTACAAAACTGTTAATAATATATGGTTCCTAGTTACTTGTCTGGAAAATTTACTTCCACGTCAATGATACACGAACATAGTTTGCGTGGATCTAATCATAAACTTTTTGTACCAAGACCCTTAACGGAATCCTTGAAGAAATGTTTTTCCTATAGAGGAGCTACCCTATGGAATGACATACCCGTCGAACTCACTAGAGTTCAATCTCTCGCTGAGTTTAAATCTAAAATATCTTAATATTTCTTTTATATTAGTTTCTTTGCATGTGTAATATGTATCTACGAAAATTCACTCGAATCACAATAAAAAATCACTAAAATCTCAGAATATAAAAAAATATTGATAAACTCTCGCTGTTTTTTCCTGCTCGTATACATAATTAATATTCCATGTGCTCGCGTGTAGCACACGCGAGATGTCCACGCAATTAACCGCTCAGTTCCGACACACTCCCCCGTATACACTCTGTAAGAGCTGTATACAATAACACAACACAAAATCTTAAATTTAGAATAATTGTCAATATCTCAAGATCACTGTTCGTTTTTTTTTTCTTTCTCCTACTAATCATCCGCTGCTCCGATCTGTTCTATACGGAGTTTTGCCGCAGTCGCCGCGTCTCGCCGGCGGCGTGGCTCGAATTCTACCGTATCCGGGTTCAGGATTGGCACTTCCGGTACGACATCGCAGCTCAGTTCTAACGGAAAAAGCAGCTGCACGGCTCTTTCCAAGGTTCCGTTTGGAGTCTTCAGACGTACTCCCCGTATCACGTTATCCTTTCCAGGGTAGGTTTCTTCAATGATTCCTAGAGGCCACGTACCTCGATTCTTGCTCTCGGTCTGTATCAACACAACGTCTCCAGGCTTAGGTTGGAACTTGCTTCTCTTGTGGGTCATGTTGTGTCTTTCCTGTAAGGCTACCAGGTATTCTTTTCTCCAACGCCACCACAGCTTGTTCTTACATTCGATTAGATATTTTGCTCGTTTTCTCAGTTCTCGTTCTTCGATTCGCCATGGTTCTTCCATAGGGAGTTGGCACGTGCGTTGATGGAGGAACGTAGCTGGGGTGAGGGTTGGTAGCTGGATGTCGTCCTCAACGTATGACAGTGGTCGGCGGTTGATTGGAATTTCAACGTCGAGCAGAACCTCGCTTAGTTCGTCCCAAGTGAGATGACCTCCTCCGATCACCTTGTACATGGCTGACTTGACAACCCCGATGAGGCGCTCGTATTGGCCGCCCCATCAGGGTGCACGACTCAGGTTAAATTTCCATTTAATATCGTACTCTTCCGCGAAGCCTCGTACGTAAACTCTCGTCTTTCCGTAATTGTTCCAGCCATTTGCTGGCTTTGACGAACGCGCCGCTGTTATCTTTTTATTATTATTATTATTCTTATTAATCAATTGATAAATTACATATCAAGTGTTACAAAACAATTTTTAAAATATATTACAAGTTTTTAACATTAAAAAGTTTTAGGTTATATTAAAATTGCAAAGTTAATTATATCTTAAAATACATCTATTGATGAAACTATTTTTAAAACGCTCGGTAGAAATGTTTGGCCACAGTGCCTCTTGTGTTCTAAGTTTAACTGTATATTCTTTAATTTTTGGACAAATTTCTCTTAACGGATGATTGTTTTGTTTACACAGCTTTTCAAACAGCTTTCTATCTGTCTGCTCTAACAGTATATTAATATCTATTTGTTCCGATGTGTATCTTCTTTTGTAGCAACGAGTTAAGACGTTTTGAATAGTTGTTAACTCCGGTGGTGATGCAGCAATTACTGATAAGCCATAGGTAAGTTGGGACAGGACCAGTGACCTACAAAGATCTAATTCGTCTTGACTGTATCCTTCATTCCTCAGCTTTCGAATTACAAACAAGCATTTATTTGCTTTCACCAACTTTTTCTTAACACATTTCTCAAATCTGCTTGTCATTTCAAAGGTTAGCCCCAGTATTTCAAGACTAGAGTGCCGTTCAAAACCATCAATTGGTGATACACAATCCTCTGATCGTCCTTTCTTTAATATAATCATTTCTTTACATTTACCCTCATTTAAAGGTAAAGAGTTTGATTCGGACCAGTCCTTAAATTCATCTATGGCTTTAGAACTACAATCTTGGGTATTCTTCAAAATCGGTACCAAAAGTGAGGAATCATCCGCGAATTTAACAAGGCGGGTGTTGGAACAGTTTTTAATCTCCAAATCATTAATAAATAAATTAAAGAAATGTGGTCCGGTTACAGTTCCTTGCATAACCCCCTTGTTAATATCTTTCCACTTGCATGTCGTTCCTTGGAAAACTATTCTCTGTCTTCGATCTTTTAAGAATTTTAAGTACCAATTTACTAAATAAGGGTTCATAGAACTCGATTTCAATTTTTCACTCAGTTTTGCGTGTTTACATTGTCAAATGCTTTGGAAAAGTCCATTGCAATTAATCTCACTGCATCACAATTTGGTTCTTCTAGTTCTTTCAGGTACATATATACTGTAATTTAATTAAGGCGTCTGTGCTACACCCACCGATTCGATAAGCAAACTGGGAAGATGATAACTCAGCCTCGAAAGATCTTTTACTATGATAATGATAAACCGTTCTTTCGAAGCATCGTCCAATCACAGGTGTGACGTTTATACCTCTAAATTCACAACATTCCTTTGGATTCTCGACTTTTGGTAAAGGATCTATATGAGCAATTTTCCAGGAGGTAGGCCATGTGGATGTAGAGAGAGATTCATTTCAAATCTTGGTCATAACAGGTGCAAATACATCAGCGTTTTCTTTCCATACCCAAAATGGGATTTCATCAGGGCCTATTGCAGTTTTCCTTTTTTTCAACAAAGTGTTCTTGACCTGGGTTATGCTAAACTGAGGAGCTTTTATTACCTCCGCCAGGAGGTTATGTAATCATCTGGGTTTGTTACCTCCGCCAGGAGGTTATGTAATCATCTGGGTTTGTATGTGTGTGTGTGTGTGTGTATGTGTGTGTGTATGTGTGTGTGTATGTGTGTGTGTGTGTGTGTTTGTCTGTGAGCACGATAACTCAAGAAATACCAAACATATCCGTACGAAATTTTTTGAATGCATTTCCCATCGGCTAAGGAAGAACTGGTTAAAATTTGGTTGAATTTGGTTAAAAATTGAATGAGAAATGAACAAAATTTTGTCTTGCTTTTCCCGGTCAATTAACAAAAAATATTACTGAATGCGTAATTAGGACGTGTATAATTTATGCACTCAGTGCTAAGACAATAATGAGATGATAAACCTCATTAAGCTTCGGCCTTCATTATTTATTGTCTTAGTTGCATTTCACGCGACCGAAATTCAATGTCTAAAACAAGGCTTACGGAGTTACGCATTATTACGTTCAGCAAAGTGCCAGTCCATTCAAATTCTAACAACATTAGATTACTTCAATACAGGGTGTATAAAAAGAAGGCAACCTCAGAATTTCCCAAGAAATCGACATTGTTTTAAAGACAAAAGATTTTAGCTGCCTGGGAATTTAAAATAGCACAACTGTGAAAATTACTGCACGCGCGAGTGCATAAAGCAAAATTTATGCATTTATTTAATGACACTTAATAAGTTTTTATTTTACAAGTACTGTACAGCACAACAACAGTAATATGTTCTATTAGCAATTCGATTTCAATTCGCGGGGGCCTGAAATCTTATGCTTAAGAATTGTAAAGTGGATTTCTTAGGAAATTCCAAGGTTGCCTTTCACTTCCGAGTAACGGGCGGAGGTATGCAGTCTCTGAGTGCCCTCTAGTTGTGATTGAATCTATCTCTATCAACGTTAGCTGTTCATAGTCTCTATCCCAACATAACTCTCCAAAGTAATCGTTCAAGTTTTCTTTGAACTCGTTGTCAAGTATAATATGTGCTCGATTTCTTCTATGTGACAAAAAGTCAACATTTTTCCACCATTGACTTGTGCCAGTACACTCGGACTTTGCCATTTTTGTTCGATTATGTGAAATTATTCCAGATATTCGTTCTGTTAATTCTGCCGCAATAGTGGAGACATCCATGGAGGGTCACGAGTGGAAAGAGTAACTGTTTTCTTTGGAAAACATTGATCTATCATGTTGTGGATAGTGTTCTCCAATACTTTAGTTGCTTCTTCAACTGTTTCTAATGACGTAAGTTCAGACCAACTTTTCTCGGCAAGCTTCTCTTGAAATTTGACTTTATTCTGCGCTCTGTAGTCCCTAAAGCTGATTTTAGTGCGGAGGGGCTTCAATTTTATTCCTTCCGGGATTATGACTCCCAAGTGGTCTGTTTTCATTTGTATATGCAAAGGGTATGCTTTATTGAAAAGTTCCGGTCTATTTGTAAAACAGTTATCAAGAATTGCTAGCCTTCTAGTGGGAAAGTCTACCAAAGGCAACATGCAAGACATTGCGGAAAGTTGACTAACGTTTAGATGATTAATGTCTCCACCAAAGAGAACTAAGCCATTTGGGTTAATGTCTAAAAAATCGTCAACAACTTCCACAATTCGATTCAAAAAATCTGTTTCATCATAACTAAATCTTGGAGGGTGATAGGCTCCAATAACTAACATTTTATGTTCCGTTGGGATAATAAGTCGCAAACGTGACGTCGCAAACATGACCGTACGGTATGTTAACACACATCCATTCAGCGACGAGTTTAAATATAAGTGAGCCAATTTAAGCCAATCAGCGATTAGGTTACATCCTGGGAAACATCAATTGTTTATTCCATACCCACATCTAACCTGCGAACGAGCATTAACTAAAGAATAATGATGAAAGACATATATTTACATAATCAAGCTTCATTCAGTGTAGCGTGTAACTAGGTGATTTTATCTGTTAATATCAATAATTAGGTTTACCGATAAAGTATGCTCGATTTCGACACATTTCCAAATTTTACAAAGTTTGCGCGCTTGTCATTTTTGTCAAATGGTAAAGAAGAAAGATATTATTGGCGATTTGTGTTGACTAATGTTAGTAGTTTATATAAAAGCTAAGGTCATGTGCCAATCAAGTGCCACGATTTTTAAATAAACTTTCAAAGTTGATATATTTTGAGACGATATCCGTTATCCGTTCAGGAGTGTCCGATAACTGCGCGCGCTGTTTTCTATTTTATACCAAAGAATAATTATCTAAGTCATATCACCAACGCAAATAGAAGGTTATAAGTCCATATTTCTGAGCAAAAATTTTGAAATTTAGGTATGAATTTGATTTTAAAAGTAGCGCTGAAAATATGTCGATATTTTGCCTTCATTCAGAGTTCAAGTTGGTTACCAGCCGATCGAACATCAATCGCCCCCAAAAATATTTTAAAGAAAATTTGAGTCAAAATGAAATCGATTTTAGTTATTCACAAGGATAGATTTTCAAAATACTAGAGTATGAGAGACATCTATTTTTGGGCCACATATTGACCTGGAGGTTTTTACGGAGACAGCCTCTTAAATATTGTCAATTTAAATACAATACACGCTTCCGGAAAGTACGTCACTTTGGCTATAGAGCCTCGTTTTCGTGATTGAGACGCGGCCTTTAACTGATGTCAGATACACGAAAACGAGGCCCTATAGCCAAAGTGATGTACTTTCCGGAAGAGTGTATTATCATTGATGGTGTACACACTATGTATTTTTACAGCAATACAAGCAAAACTTACACCGAACTTCATGCAGACATCAGCGTCCCATCTCTCTTCATTTTAACATGTAATTTTATAGAGAAAGCACCATACATACTTTTTAAGTTTGTTTGCATGCTGCTTGAGAGCCGTAACAACAATTACAAAAATTGAATATGGTCATGTAGCCAAGATGAAAAGTATATTCATTAGTTTTGAGTGCGTATATGCGTATATATGCAAAAGATACTCCTCTTATCAAACTGTTACCAACTATGAACCACTGAAAACTCAGGCAGCTGTAACATTAACACGGATTCAGAAAACATACACGTATGTGCTCATGTCGGATATATGTTTGTTCCCTCTTACGCCTCTTTTCACTTGTTACTCTATATATATTATACATATAGTGGATATGTGTTAGTTATACTCATGCGCAGAATTGGCGATTTTAACGCACACCATGAAAACAAAGATACACCTTTCCAGAAAGTGGTTAATTAGCCGATTATACTGGCTTGTTCATAGCCGCGAGCGTGTTAGATGTGACGGTATATACACGTGCAAGAATTGATTATTTTATCGAAATATAAAGAGCTTATGAAACTCCTACAGAATTAAAACAAAGATACACAAGAGGTCCAGAGAGAGGAAACAGCAAGAGAAGAGGTGACGACTTAAGAGGCTGTCTCCGTAAAAACCTCCAGGTCATTAACTCAAGACAACAGGAACTATATATATGGTCTAAACCAATATCCATCACCCTAGCATTGGGGTAGGGTATAGCATAAAAGCACTTCACATTTGCGACAAAGGTTCAGTTTACTTGGTAGAGTCGAGATGGCAGGTCGAAAGTTGTCCGTGCTGTTTGCTTTGCTAGTTACTACAGGATTTTCTTCTGGCGAAGAAAATTTTAATGCAGGTACATTTTTTGTTAACGACTATACCAAAATGTGGTTTGGAGGTAGCAAACAATAATAATTGCCTAATGAATTATATATAGATGCAAATCGTGATGTTTGTTTGCGAATGAGTAGATTTTAGGGGCAATAAATTGTAGCTCTTTTAGCTTTTTAGCTACAATCCTGGTCAATACCATCTGCGATACTCTATCAAAATATTCCTTTGCAGCTTGTTTTACTAGTAGACCGGAATAATATTTACTCGTTTGCCTCCCTCTGTCCCCCAAAACAATGTTGGACGTTGTTCTGGGAATGCAATCAACATTGACTGGTGGGGTATAAGGGGAGGTTTGTTTCTAAATTTGCGATAATATTACGAAATTTTGTCAAATAATTGAAAGTGTCGCCGATCGATGGTTTGTCCAGGATTGTGTCGCTAAAAGGACGTTACACGACACATATGTTTTTTATCATATTTGCTTGTTCTGTCGGGGGACACTATACATCACCTTGCCTCGATCCAGGTTTCCTTACAGGGTAAGGTTTTTCCTGCCTCCCGATGTGGTAGCAGTTTGTAAACTGTGGTTAGGCTATATCTGTAAGAAATAGTTGGACATGTATAATTATTTGCACATTTATTAATGTAGCGCCCACACTATTAAGCCGCATCAAACTCCATTTGCTATTGTGCGTATACTAGCTGTACTTTAAATAATTGTTATTAGTATAGAACAGTGTAGAACTGATAGAGCTATTCAATATAAATAAAGTGAATTTAGTAATTTAGATTTCTTCCTGTAAT